GAGAGTGGAAAGTATCATTCTGTGAGTATTATTTTTAAATTATTGAAAATAGAGGTCAGTAGGGTATATAGCATTTGTTATGTTGGAAATGAATTTTTCATAAGGGATTATCTTCAGGAGATTCCATGTACATGGAGTATCCTGTGGGAAAGAGACAAAATTTATATTAATACGTTATTGCATGTAATCCTCTCTATGAATATATTTTTACTTTTTGATTATAGTCTGTCAAAATTTATTCAAAACTAATTTGAAAGGTGTTCTCGACTTTTTGAGGTGACTTTTTAAGGAGATGATACAGGTAGACCTTAACTTACAACAGTTTGTATAGTAATTGTTCATAGTTACAATGGTACTGAAAAAAGTAATTTATGACTGTTTTTCACATTTATAAAAATTGCCGCATCCCCATGGTCATGCAATCAAAATTCAGACACTTGGAAACTGACTGATATTTTTGATGGTTACAGTGTCCACGGTCATGTGATAATTTTTTGAGATCTTCTGAAAGGCAAAGTCAATGGAGAAGTCAGATTCACTTAACAACCATGTTAATAACTTAACGGATGCAGAAATTTACTTAATATCTGTGGCAAGAAAGGTTGTAAAATGAGATAAAAATTGTTTCACTTAGCATAAGAAATTTTGGGCTCAACTGTGGTTGTAAATTGAAGCCTATCTGTACTGGAGAAGGCTAAAAGACCTGAGAATGTATGACCAATTTTAAGTAATCTGGAATAATTGGGTAAATTTTTCTTTGTAATGAGCGTGCAAAAGCATGTATGTTTTGTATGTTTTTAATCAATAATAAAATAAAAATAGGCAAATATATATTTTATTATTTAGGGTTTGGGGGAATATAATAACTTCTAAATATCAAACAAATTTATCATTAGGCTTTTTAAAAAGATACTACTTGTTTTAATAATATTGATTATTTTTAAAAAATAGATATGTTTTTAATATTCAGTCATTTGATTTTAAATTCCAGCCCTCTGCATTACATACCACAAATATAGAACGTGGTCTGGGAAACAAACTTAAAATACCTTGCAATTGTGTTTAATTGCTGCAGGATCTTGCAGAGTTGGGAGGATAAAACCTGTCAATTTTAATAAAAGAATTAAAAGACATCAAACCTGTTAAACATGGTTTCAGCTTGAATATTGCTTGCTATTCATTTGAATGTATAATAGCTCAGGTATGCATTTTCTAAAGAATGCCCCAGCCTAAGCTAAGCAAGAACATTCTTCACTGCATGGTCAAAAGTTTTGTTGTTAGTACCTGCAAACTGACTTTCAGACTGAAGCTTATATATTTTTACACAAATAGAAACAAATTTCTATGAATATGCCCACAGGAAAATAATTGCTTAATAATTATTTTCAAATGCTCTACAATTGTTCCCATCCCTTAAATATTCTTTGCATGTATGTTGCAAAGTTATACTGCAACACTGATATTGTTCCATTGGTTGTTTTTGATGATGATGATGATGATGATGATGATGATGATGATGATGATGATGATGATGATAATCTTTGGTGAGATTCACAGCCTTTGGGGCTGGTTGNCTTTATCATCTTTTATTTTCCATTCTCTTCTTATTTCTCTTCTCTTCTTATTTCTCTTCTATTCTTTATTCTATTCTTTATTATCTTCTATTCTGTTTTCTTTTCTCTTCTCTCCTCTCCTCTCCCCTTCCACTCCACTCCCTTCCTTTATTATTGTTAATTTTTATCCCGCCTTTATTAATTTAGTAAAACTGGACTCACCCTGGTGCTCCTTGTATCCAAATATTGCTGGCTTCCTCCCTCTCCCATTTCCTCGCGATGATTCGTTGTTGCCTAGAAAATAGCTGGCGCCTCTTGATAACGGGGGAAATGAGAGACCTTGATGGTATTTTATGCTTTCTGGGGTATAAAGATCGCTCGTGCCGGCTGGGGGATTCTGGGAATCGAAGTCCACACACCTTCAAGGTGATAAGATTGAGAGAATGAAACCATGTAGCAGGTGGAAGAGATGGTGGTTATCGTTCACCCGAGCGTCCCTGGCAGGGGTGGCATTAATTGACCTCGCAAATGCGAGCCTGCGCGCACCTCCACATGTGTGCTCAGCCTTCCCCGCATGGGCTTTTGGTGGAAAAAAAGGGCATTCCTGGGACAAAAATCTTCATCCTTGCTTTCCTTTCCAGGCGAGGGGGACGATTCCCCGGTCATCAGCCTCACCGTTCCCTCCACCTCTCCCCCTTCAACTTCGGGCCTCGCCAAGGACGTCTCTGCCACCCCCCCGTCCTCCCCTTCGATGACCAGCGGCTTGGCTGTGGTGGGGTAAGTAAGTCAGGAGACCCCAAGATTTTGACGTGGCGACGTTCTCTTCTCCTGGTCTTTGCAAAAGACTTGGTGTCGTGCCCCCCATCTCACTCCCCCACCCCCAGTTTCAGAACGGGGAATAATTTTCTTACACCGCCCCACAGGTATCTCAGTACTCATCGTCCTCTATTAACGACCCCGTAATCCCTTGCAGGGTGGAGTCTGGGCAACTGAATGGAGCTAGCAGAGTGTTTCATGGCCAGATGCCCTTCCCTGTTGCCAGTATGGAGTTTTGTTCAACAGATCTACTCTCATCATGCCCAGAGAGAGAAATATATCTGCCTCTACTGTGAGGAGAGGGACTCGAGGCCACCGCACCACTCATAGATATCTCAGTAGTCTAGCATGGATACCCCTAGACAACTTTCAAATCAGCACAGGTGGCCCTCGACTTACAACGATTCATTTAATGACTGCTCGGAGTTAAAACGGCGCTGGAAAAAGTGAATTGGGAATTTCATGCAGCCGTTGCCCCATTCCCAGCGACCACGCGATCTTAATTCATAAGGTTGACAACTGACTCATATTTATGATGGTTTCAGTGTCCCCGGGGGGGGGGGGAGGCGGTTACGCGACCCCCTTTTGCGACCACCTCACAAGCAAAATCAAAAGGGAAGCCGGATTGTTGCTGGTTTCAATGGCCTAAAGGCATTTCAAAATCTAACCGATAACGTCATATGTAACTTTTTGAATTCTTCATGCATTGCAAAACCAACTACCTATTTCCATCACGGTTGTGCCATAGTACAGCTAATCCTGGTTCATTTAGTGACTGTTCAAAGTTACGACGGCACTGGAAAAAAAGGACCCGTTTTCACCCCGTTGCAGCTTCTCCACGATTATGCGATCAAAATTCAGGCGCTTGCCCA